CACTTTCTTCTCCCCACCCAATCTCCCCTTCTAGTACTCCTATGTATGGGGTATGAGGCTGGACAAGGCAGGGGATCCCTGGGGCAGCCCTAGCACTAATTCTTTCATTCCATCCTCAAGTGCTCACCAAGGGCTGACCTAGACTAGACACTGAGGATGCAGTAAGAATGAACACAGAAGAATTCAACTGATTTATGAGGTTTCTGCCCTCTGGTCATGGGGGAACGGCAACAGACAGAAAGAATAAACAATATAATTATGGGCAGGGTGACTACAATGGAGAAAGGAATCAAGTTGTAGTACAGAGTATTGTGTTTATGTCCAAGGCAGCAGGAGAGGTGGATCTGAGAAGGAGCCATCTGAGCTAAGATCAACTCAAAGGCAGTGGCTGAGCATGGAAAGATCTAGGGCAAGTCATTTCTGGCAGAAAGCACAGCAAGTGCAAAGACCCTGAGGAAAAAGCAAGTTTGACACTTTGAAGAAATATGAAAAAGGTGCTTAGGGCTAATGGAAGATATAGATCAAGCTCAAGGGAAAGACACACACAACTGAAAGGCATGAGGGAATAAACCAGAGATCTGGAGGGCAGGCAAAGTGGGTAAGTCCAGGAATAGGAGTCCCAAAAGGAGAAAAAAAGGACAGGAGAAATAGAGGCACCAGCTAGCCAAATTACAGAAGAAAAAACATTTATGACGTGAAGAAAATCTGTGTCTACAGATGGGAGGAGTTGACCACATCCCCAGGCAGGGTGGAAAGGAAAGGCTACACTAAAACTCTTTAACTCCAAGGAGAAAGAGGCTATTATGCAAGCTGCTAGACAGATAAAGCAAGTTACATACCAGAGGAGAAGGGCCAGCTGGCCTCAAACTATTCCCCATAGCACAGGTATACTGTCTACCTCTGCCCAACCAAGGGACTGCTGTCATGCCTAGAGAGGAACAGTAACCACTAATGGAATGAGAAAAAAACAGAATTTCCAAGTTACCAAGGGGAAAACTTAAATGAATGACAGATTAATCAAGAGACAGAGCGAAAGAGGAAAATAGTAGGTTGGCCCTATGAAATTGTTAATATTTAACTGTTTTGACCTACTGTAATGGTAGTTTCATGTAGGTCTATTGAATAAAAAAAGAAACTACGTAGTAGAAAATAATAAACATAAAGTAAATATGAAGCCAGGTGTGGTGGCATATGCCTGTAATTCTAGCTACTCAGGAGGCTAGGGCAGGAGAACTGCTTGAGCCTAAGACTTGGACTGAGCGTGGGCAACAGAGCCAGGCTCTCTGTTTTGTTTTGTTTTTGTTTTTGTTTTTAGAGACAGGGTCTTGCTCTGTGGTCGAGGCTGCAGTGCAGTGTTGTGCTCATGGCTAACCATAGCCTCCAACTCCTGGACTCAGATGATGCCCCTGCTTCAGCCTCCCGAAGATCTAGGACTATAGGTATGTATCACTATGCACCACTACACTTGGCTGATTTTTTTATTTTTATTTCTTATAGGAATGGGGGGTTTATGCTATATTGCAAAGGCTGGTCTCAAACTCTCCATCCTCAAGTGATACTTCCATCCATCTTTTTAAAAAAAATTATAGAAGCTGGGCTCGGTGGCTCAGCCTGTAATCCCGCACCTTTGGGAGGCTGAGGTGAGTGGATTGCCTGAGCCCGCGGGTTCGAGACCCGCCTGGGCAACTTGGCGAGACCTCATCTCTACAATAAATAAAAAACTAGCCGGGCATGGTAGCACATGCCTGTAGTTCCAGCTACTTGGAAGGCTGAGGCAGAAGGATCGCCAGAGCCCAGCAGGTCGAGGCTGCGGTGGCCAGGAGCGGCCACTGCACTCCAGTCTGGGCAACAGAGTGAGACTCCAACTCAAAAAAAAAAAATTATAGAAAGAGAGAAACTAAACATCTTTATTATAGTAAATAAGGACATCCTGAACCCCTTTTAAAGACCTAGAGACTGGGTTAGAAAGACAAAACCCAGCCATATGCTATTTATGAGACACTTGAAACCACAAGAACAGAAAGGGCTGAAAAATAAAGGAGTGAGCAGAAAGATCAAAGCAACACAAACTAGAAGAGAATAGGAGTAGCTACATGACACAATAAAAGGTAGGATTTAAAGTGACAAGCATTGAGCAAAATAAACAAGGCCATTATCTAACAGTGAAAAAGGCAATTTATGAAAAACATATAAAATATAAAACAATCACAATTCCATGTACACCAGACACAAAAAACATTTTTAAAAAATCAGTAACTAGACAGCAATGACACCAACACTATTATCATTACACATTGCCTTAGAGTTCTAGCGAATATAATAAGAGAACAAAATGCTATGCTATAAATAATGGAAAGAAGCCAGGAACAGTGGCACATGCTTATAATCCAGTACTTTGGGAGACAAAGTCAGGAGGATCACTTGAAACCAGAAGTTCAAGATCACCCTGGGCAACATAGTGAGACACTGTCTTCATTTTAAAAATTTGAGCCGGGCTCGGTGGCTCAGCCTGTAATCCCACGCCTTTGGGAGGCTGAGGTGAGTGGATTGCCTGAGCCCGCGGGTTCGAGACCCGCCTGGGCAGCGAGACCTCATCTCTACAATAAATCAAAAATTCAGCCAGGCGTGGTAGCGCATGCCTGTAATTCCGGCTACTGGGAAGGCTGAGGCGGAAGGACCGCCAGATCTCAGCAGGCGAGCCTGCAGTGGCTGGGAGCGGCCACTGCACTCCAGTCTGGGAGACTGAGTGAGACTCCAACTCAAAATAAAATTAAATTAAATTAAAAAAAAAAATTTGGCCAGGCACGGTGGCTCAAGCCTGTAATCCCAGCACTTTGAGAGGCCGAGGCGAGGAGATTGCCTGAGCCTAGGGGCTTGAGACCAGCCTAGGCAATTTGGTGAGATCTCGTCTCTACAATATATTAAAAAAAAAAAATTGCCAGGCTCAGTGGCTCAGCCTGTAATCCCGCACTTTGGGAAGCTGAGGGGAGTGGATTGTCTGAGCCCGCGGGTTCAAGACCCACCTGGGCAACTTGACGAGACCTCAT